CGCTAAGCTCGTAAGTCGGAGAGCAAAGAAAAAAGAAAAAAAAAAAATGTTAAAGTAAGTAAAGTGAACAATGTAAATTAGGCTAGAGTAATTAACACCCCCTCAATCCTCTCCGGAGCTTCAACCCTGAAGAGTCTCGTTGGGCCGAGAGGGGCGCAAGAATTATATTGCTGTAATAAATTAAACGCTCGGCACACCGTGGGCACAAAGCCGTGCAGTAGACCGTGACTGAATATGCGCATAATATCCAAATATAAATATGATTTTATTAATCCCACGTGACCGCTTAATTAAACCAATCATCGGTGTTATGCGACCGCACTGTGCATTGACAAAGAGCCAATATTCCGCACGACCGACACAGGTATACCAATACAAAGTTGCATCCCGGTAATCGCAGGTAATTGCACGATTGTTGCCGCGGAGGCAAGACAACAAAAACAAAGAAACAACAAAATTATACAATTTTTTCTTTGTACTTTGTACATGCTCCACTTTCATACAAGAATGTTGACTCCGTAAATGTTGAACTTTGTCAGCCCCACACAAAGTGTAAAGCCTTTCTTTGTTGCGTAAGGCTTCGGTTGCTGCTGCATCCTCGTCAGATTCATAAAGTACAGGTAGGCGCTGTCGCACTCGATAAGTCTCATCTTGTAATCCCATTAGTCACGTCATTTCTCGAGATTACAGTCGCCTTCGAATTAGGGAAAATTAAGTTGAAAATCGAGAGGGTGAACGAAGACGCGGGTTGGTTAAGTAAAACAGGAGAAAATAGAACGAGGCCACGAGGACAGGGCGGACGTCTTGTCAGGGAGAACAGACTGAGTTTCCTCTCTTGGTTGAGACGATATGAAACGTCGCGACGGTACATTTTAATCTACCTCAAATAGACGAACTGTTTAATATGGTTTCACGTGATGTTTGATAAAGTGAAATTTATCAACTGTGCACACGTTGATACGGCACGCTTGTGTTATCACGTATGAGAACCACGTAACTTTTTATAACTTTAGACAAACTGCAATAGAACATTGTAGAAAGAGAAGAAAATTTTGAAAAATCTTATAACCTGACAAAATTTTATTCAATTTTTTGTTCATTGTTTATAAGCCTGAATTACGTTTGTTACGCGCCGAAGCCATGTGGGATATAGGTATGTATGTGAATTGATGTCACAGAATTTTTCACTAGGAAGTTGACGTTCCGTTCAATTTCCTTTTTTCAATTTCGTGCCAATTGCTGGATATAAAAAAAATCTTTACACTCGATCCGTACCAATCGGAAGACAGTCCGAAAACGGACGGACTCGGATGAGGAACCCTTGGAAATTTATTTGTCATTCAAGGGTGGTCGTTAAGGGGGTTGACGTTAAAAAGATAAAAAAAAAGAAAGATACCTAACCATTGCCTCTCCAATCGATTTCCTCGTGGACAGCACGAATTGACCTCGAAGGTTCGTACTCTAGGGAGTTCCACCTGCTTTTCCTCTTTTTTTATCTTTTACTCCAACCCTCTCCCGCCTTTTCCCTCCCTCTTCCTCTCTACACCGCCTACTTTTTTTTTTCGCTGCTCACTTTTGAAACCAAGAAAAACACGTTTCACGCTCCCTCGTTTACACCCTTCGCACCCTTCCCGAATGGGCGATATCTTTTTTTTTTTGGTTCGGAATAATGATTCGGATCTTTTTTTGGAATTTTTCATCAATCAATGATTATCCGTGAACGTGTATCCGTACACGTACTAATTAAGAAATTATCAATTTTGTATGCGAGGCACGTGTCAAATTTTTGGTATTCGGATAAAAATTTTGATAATTACTCGGACGTATGGATTTAATTAGAGCATTACTTATGATTGTGGGGTCTTCAAATTATTTTCATTTTTATGAGTGGATATTCACACTTGCTGTATCCTGCAGTAAAATCAAGTAAAATGAATAATTAAGAAATACGTGGAAGAATCCATTAGGGGCAGACTGTTTAATGAATGCAATAGAGGTCGAAGGTCATATTGATTCCGTAAGATTTTATCGTCAAGCCAATTGCGTTTCAATAAACTTGTAGGTAGGTTGTATGCACGTACACGATAATTCCTACTGTCCTGTCCATTCAGCCTTGACGTGTAACAAATTGAAATTAGCTGTTAGCAATTGGTCCTGACGTTTCAATGCAATTTCTTGTCCAGGAGTTACGAAGGGAATTTCCTTACCTCTGACTAATTCGCAATTCCACGACGGGAGAGTAATATTATCATTTATTGCCGTGCGTGAATAATTGAGGATACTGTTAAAAAAAGAGCAGACAATTCCATTTTTATATTTGTGCAATATTTCAATTGCGAAAGAAATATGACGGATGCAATTATAGAAGAGAAGGTGAAATAAGTCAATTATTAATTTGATAAAATAATAAATGATAAGCAATCCGACACTTTTATTTATTCATGTGTACAGGATCTGTCAAGATGGCGGACAATAATCTGATTCGAAGCGTTCTGCGAGTTAATCGGGTTTGACCAGTGCTGATTGCAGCCATTGAAATTCCAATGATAGGTGCTAATCGACCGCGTGTCCGCAGCACGAGTTATTCGTCGGATGCGGAAATCACAGAATAATAATTCTGCATTGAATGAAGGAATCGGTGCTATGCAATTCCAAAAAAAAAAACATCCTCAGCTACAACTTCATTGTCGTAAAAGTAATTCGCAATTCCAATATCATGCATTCTTGTTTACTACGATCAAATACGAAAACTCCTCCTTAACAATTCCTTTGATAAACGTCATTGTAGCAATTCCATTAATCGGATTCGTATAAGCAACTACCCGGAAGTTATATCGAATACAGCTTGTTCTCTTAATTATTATTTTACTATTTATTACATAAACGCGAATCACCCTGCATAATAAAGTGCTTCCTTAGCATTTCTAAGGGGACTTCGACTTTTGTCCCGAAACCATAATAAGTTTCAATTTTACGGTACAGTCAGCTTAATAAAGGAGAAAATACGGAAACGTGACATCAGTGGCTACGCGATCCACCTCGGGTATTGAGTTATCACTGTACCTGTGTTATGTTGTTATCGTGGTGGAAAACTGCTGAATATGGTCAGCAGTAACGACCTATCAAACGAGCCAGCGGTTTAGGAGTGTCGCTGCCGAAATGCCTAGGAAGCTTTAATGGGGTGAACGGGCGTACGGGTGAATATGATAAGGGAGAATGGAGGATGAGGCAAAGAGAGACGAAAGAGGAAGAGAGAGACAAGGGGGAGAAAGAGACGAGTAAATTTGGCTATTGAACATGGACCAAACATAAAACGACCCATAACTATCTTATGACTTTTGGAAACTCGAGATTCGACCGACCTGAAATAAAATTTGCATATCAAAACGTACAGCAGATATCGTGCAGTTAAATTACTACGAACTTTACGATCAGCGTGATAACGACTTTAATTACATAAACTAATATGATTAAGGGATAACCAGGAATTTTGTGACGACCATAAAAATTCAAATTAGTATTATTTATTATTCCTTCAAATTAGCATATCGATAAAGTAGTGAAAATACGAAATTTTTTTAATTTCACACAAATTTTATTCATATTTGTTTCGAATTGTTCTCCGCATGCTGATCCATACTCGATTATTTCATCTGGTTAAAATTTCTGTCAGATTCGTACCGGTACAGTCAGCATGGCAAATTAGTCTCATGAGATAAATTAGTCTTGTAGTATTGCCACAAGGGATTCTATGCGGTTACAAAATTTCTAATTTCATGTATACAGAGTTAAACGGTCCTTTCGGAATAATTAACTGTTTCAATTGTCCATAACCTGTAATTCCTGACGTCATTAAACGTTATTCGTCTTAACTCCAAAAAAATCATTGCAGCAGTTAAATCCAATTAGAATTTGAAAAATATTCATTTGGCATGTACTTTGAAAATCCAGCTGTAATTTCAGTTTCGTAGATAACAAGGGTGTCGAGTTCACCCAAAGGTCGCACGTGTTAATTCACCTACAATTTACCTCACTACAAGGATAGCGTTAAAAAGGTATAGGTGTTATCAACAAATGTGAGTTTACGCTAGGCTCGTATGAGAGAAGGTTGGAAGGTTCACGGGGTCACAAGAAATTAGGGACGAAACTGATACTTTAGATAACGTGATGATCCTGTGGTGTTTGCTACTCTGGGTTTTTGAAAAAGGAAAAAAAAAATTGCACGTCAAGAGAAAAAGAGACCGTAACGAAAGCTGCAGATAAAAAGTAATAAAATGATTTGTGCTAATCGTATCCTGATAAGGAAAAAAATCTGTTTTTTTTTTCTTTTGTTTTGACTTGGGATCGATAAAGATTTTCAGTACTGAAAGTATAAATATGTCTATGGGATTATATCGATATGACAACAATCTACGTCCTACATATACACACTCGGTATGCTACCGACTGGGTTATTTGCACATATCATATACGTAGACACGTGTATGTATCTAAGAGCTTATGTGAAAGGATACAAATCCGTTATGGAAGGTTAGTGCTATGGCCTACACTAATGCTATTAGGCTTATAGGCACAAAGGCCGAATGAAGGAATCTTGTTTAAGTAAAGTCCTTCGACGCTTCGATCCCTCGATCAATTGATTCAACGATCAATTCCAGAACGGATCAGGAAACCGTGCGAATAGCTTTCCTATAAATGGACGCTCGGACCCTTTTTTATTCCGCTATTCGATTTCGACGAATCCCTGTGGCGCCCTTGCGATGTGCATCACCATTATTGACGCGGATAAACGTGATACACAGGGTTGAATTGCATGTCGAGAATGACGGGCGATAAGATTTTATGAATGAAAAATGATGAAAATATTATGTCCCGTGATGCAATCATGTTTTACGGTACACGATTGTTTATCATAAATCACCGAGTATCCAATCGATGATTTCTATAGTGAAAATTACAAAAAAAAAAAAAAAAGTAAAAAATTTTCCTTTCAAACTGACCTTAGTGTAGATGCCGGCACTGGACAATTCGTTCTCGATGACCATCACGATGATCCCGAACATGCCCATCACGAGTGCGTAATCACTGATGCGCTTACGCTTCTCGAAAAGGGCCTTCCTGCGCCCGAGACGATAGCCGACGTTGGGTTTGTGCTTGGAGGCGGGCCCGATGCTGCCCGATGGGCCTTTCAAAGGCCCACCGCCAAGGCCCTGCTCCTCCATGTATCGTGGATATTCGGAATGTACGCCGACCAGGGCGACGCCAGCTTCGTCGCCGGCGGCTCCGGCGTTCATTCCGCCAGGACCGGCGCCACCACTTCCGCTACCGCAACCACCCCCGGCACCCCCGGGCCCCCCGCCCGGCCCGCCGCCACTGCCGATACTCTTCATCGCCCCAGGGATCGACAGCGTCGAGACTGGCTTTCGCAGCTGAAACAGGAATTTCAATACAATTATTTTTTTGCAATTTTCAAAATTCTATTTTTTTTCTTTTTTACAAAATTGACAATTCAGGAAGCATGATCCTTTACGATGACGTTTGCAGCAAATTTGTCATTGTATCAAAAATTTTTTTTGTCATTGTTCTACAAAAGCACCGCAAACAAAGCTGAGTGTACAGAAATGAAACAAACTTTACTATTCGAAAACTATATAGCCTCATTCTTTCATCGCAATCATATAAAACGCTTATAAATTTGTATTACGGTAAGAGTATCTCATTTAAAAATTTTATTACTTATTCACCTTGTCTCTTCAAATTTCCCCTTTAATCCCTTTATCGTTACTATTTTTCCTTTTTTCTTTATTTTCTTTCTCTCGCTGCCCCAATCCCTTCTAACCCCCCTTGACTTTCGCTATATTTTATATCCCCTCGTCTTTTTTGTTGTTTCTTTACCAGATAAGCTTATGCCAGCCGTAAACGGTAGTTACACCAAGACCAGCCTCCCAGTACGGATGACACTTGGGACTTATCTCTTCATCCTCTCTTTTCGTGTCAGAGGTATCATCATCAATAAGGACGTACTGCCATTATCGTCCTCAAGAGTAACAACCAAACCTAACCTGACGTAAATTAGTAGCAGCTGACAGATTGGACAAAAAAAATAACAGCACTGACAATTCTGATTAATTATAATCATCATTCAAATTTCCATACCTGCTAATTGGCTACAATTTAATTACACAAATTTACAAAGACCTATTGTCTTTCGATATTACATCACATTGTATAATTATATCTTTATGACAATAAACCTAACTGGTACCATCCATTGGAAATCGATAGATTATTCGGATCAATCCCAATATATAATGTTATTGCAGATAATCGTCTAAAATAAAAAAAAGATTATATCCACTTACGTCAATTAAACATTAAGCTGCTGTTAAAATGGTATACTAAACAAGCTATAGATATATATATATCACACATGTGCCAGTATGTCAATATTCGTGATCCAAACGTGTACGTGGAGATAAAATGCAACGTGTCATGCACTGTGCATCGGTTTTCGTATTATTATGATTTTCAAGCAAATAGGAAAAAATAAGAGAAGAAAAAAGAATATTGGTATCAGTTACTTGTTTATTTTACATGTACCGTTTCTGAGGCTCCTGGCACCGTGTATGGTTTGTACGATGAATATATATTACGTAGAGAGTGCAAAGTGCATACAAAAGTCCAAACGATAATTTGTGTTCTTTACGTGGCTCGAGGATAGTATCAGGCTTCGTTGAAAAAGCGCCTTTAGTATCTACAAGACTGTTTATGGAAATTTGAGTTACTATCGACCAACGCCCTTTCGATGTCTCAAGCGAACGTGGGATACAAGGACGCCCACCGATCGGTCCATGGAGCTGATCTTGGTAACAGCATCCGGTTCCTCTTCCTTTTCTTTGTACTCATTCTCATTGGCTGTTAGGGAGAGAGGAGGGATCTCTTGGTTACGGTTATCTCATTGCTCGGGTCTGGAGCTTATCGCATTTAAGCCATTTTTTTTTTTTTTTTTTTTTTTTTTAAAAAATTTTTTAGCATCCGGTTCCTCTTCCTTTTCTTTGTACTCATTCTCATTGGCTGTTAGGGAGAGAGGAGGGATCTCTTGGTTACGGTTATCTCATTGCTCGGGTCTGGAGCTTATCGCATTTAAGCCATTTTTTTTTTTTTTTTTTTTTTTTTAAAAGGTGCCAGAAGAATTTCTTTTATTATATGTGATTTATATATTGGAACTTTTCGGTTATCATTTTTAGGGAAAGAGTAAAAAATGACGTGACGTCATACTCGATGATGATTTTCAGTTAGATTTGGGTCAAGGTCGTAAGTTTGACATTGGGAAATGTAATAGCCGTGGAAAATAATACGTTCGATTATTCGAAGGCGTCTCGATCGTCTTGTGGCGTTGCGACGCTTCGTACGGCTACTAGAAAAAAGAAATGACCACTCGACTTTCTTCGCTACTTTCTTTTTACAGTGTCCCCCCACTTTTCGTTAAGAACCTTTGCGGGATGAGAAAATCGGGTAAAAAAGGACGAAAAAATGTCATCGCTTTTCCGTCGCTTTCCATTTCTTCGGATCCTTCAGATTGCGTCAAACGTCCATTAGTTTCCTTTTATTCCCGACGCGACCCTCACGGGTCTCGAACCTTAATTGCTTTTAGTTGCGATCTCTGCGCATGCGCGAGTCCGTCCTACCGATTCTCGAAGACGGAAGCTGCCCTATAAAGGACGCCGATTTAAATTGCATGGAAAGCTTGTTACTTCGGACAAAGAAAAATCCCATTGTCCAAAGCTCATTAATCTAGCCCACTTTGAAATTACTATGGATTAATGAGGATTCGAACCCGTCGAATTTAAATACTTTTTGAAGTTTCGAAAGTAGAAGAGTATTGATTTTTGGAAAAAAAATTTATCTCAACATTTTTTTTAATCATTCTACATAAATTGACTTTTTTGGTCGGTTTCTATGATTGTGAGAGAACAAACTCTCTGGGGACACGTGGTAACGGAACGTGATGCGTCGCGACGCTCTGACAAGCAGTAAACGTGATCGGACCGAGACGCCTTGGAATCTATCGGCATCGTTTGCGAACGTCCTTAATATATACAGTATGTTACGCTAAAGGAAATATGAGCAGATATAGTAGACTCATTCCTCATTCCACGCACTACGTTCACACCCAATGAGGTCACGTTTCTTAGGGTCTATACCTAACGAGACTATTATGCTCCTTTTCTGGCGAATTCCTTGGTCTTTACACGTAATCGTCCTTCCTTATATCGGCAAGATAAATATTTCTTCGTTACCATTGAAAATCGACTGGCGATAAGAAAAAATATTGCTGTCGCAATTTCCAGGGAAAATATTGACTGTACCTTGGCAGAGATTTCTCTTTAACGCAAAGACAATATTTCGCTAATTTTTCGAAAATACTTTATTCTCTATACTGGTATTATTTTAGGTAAAATAGAGTAAACGACAGTTGTCAAATGTCAAACGTATTTTTTTAATAAATTTACAGTCGTCTTTTTAACGAATTTTTTTTTTTGATTATTCAATTATTTAATATTCTTCAGGTTTTTGAAATTTAAAATTAGATATTCACAGATTTTCAAAATTCTTTGATAACTATTTTGGAGTCTATTCTTCGTAAGTTCCCTCGAGAAATTTCAAGGGAATCCCAGGGCTGTACGTTAGGATCACGATGATACTTGATCATCCCCGTCAAGGATACACGTCATCCCTTGAGATTTTCCGGACGCGACTGCAACGCGCAGAGGTGGAAAATCCGAAGGTTTCTACGGTACTTTTAAAGTCTCTGCTTTTCATTTTATTTTCCGTACTGAATATATAACACGAATGTATATACACACGTTACAAGTACATATACGTAGTCTCAGGCGTGAAAATTTAAGGTGCGTTTACACGTGAAATAATATTACAAATGACCAATATAGTTCGAATATATTTGACCGTGCATTCGCGGTGAGGGAATTGCGATTGAACTTTGTACAAAACAGGCGAAATGCAGTTGCAACAATTTAAAGTAATTTTGTATCCTTGTGGTATTCTTCATGATTATTGTTGTTGGGTTTTGATGACAAAATATTGTCAAAATGTCACGCTATATTCTGTACATTGTTTAATGGTATGGGTCGTACTAGAATAAAAAGAAAATTTGGTGTGAAGGATTCTTTAAAGATAGTGAATGGCTCGAAGCGGACATTTGCACGTCTCACCGCAAACTTTTCACTTCAATTTTTATTTCTACTCGCAACTGTACTTCCGGCGCTTCCATCTATCCGGTCAATCCTTCTTGTTATTTGTTTTTTTTTGTTTCTGAAGATGCTGACGCGTCTGACAGCAAAGCTCCATTACTACTGTGACTGTTCAAGGACTAGCGAGAATCTAGATTTAATTTACCGCTTTGAAAATCGCCAGTTGCGCGAAGTCGCGTGGAATTGCATGATACAATTTTTTATTTTCTTAATTTTCAATACATTTATGTATTTTTTTTTCTTACAATTTTGACTTTGATTTCGTTCTGTCATAATGATAATCTGTGGATTTTGTTAATCATGCGAAAATTTTTGGTCTTTTTGAATATCGAATATGTTTTTTTGAGAAATCTCATGCATCGTCGAATTCTTTCGTCAAAATATTGAAATTTATGTAGCACCCCTTTTTCTTCTCTTTCTATCATCTTCTCTCTACTTCTTTACTTGTTTCATTTTTTGTTCTTTCATTTTTCTTTCTCCGCTCCTACATTATTCATCCGCCCATTCGAATTTTGCTTGATCTCGCCGCGAGAACAAAAGTTCGTTATACCAAAAGGTGAGAGGATATATATTCCCGAGTTTTTTTAAAAAAAAAAAGACATACTGTAATGTGCTCACTAAAATTAACGCAAATGAGCATTACCCACAGTAAATTATACTTAATTATACGAGATAAAAGGTAGGAAGAAAATATATATATAAAGAAAAGAGCCGCCACTCAAAAATATTTTTAATCATCGTTCCACCCGTCTTTACTACCTGTTTCATTTCTCGTACGTCCGTGACAGAGATTACCCAGAGAGAAAAAAATAAAATAGTGGTAATGAAATTCTGAAATTTTTTCAAAACTTCCAAAAACGCCATTTCCCAAAAAACGCGGATATACGTGTATAAGTTGGTAACCGTGAGCAAATGAATATCAAATAAATATAAAAATACAAAAAATCTCAAAATATTACCAAGGAGCCAATCGATCAATCACTATCGACAAATGGGTACTAAAAATGTTAAGGACCCGACTTCCATATGATTCAACTCCAATTCAATTCCAGGTCCCCTTGCAATATTTGCATATAACTTTTCAGTCCAATATTTTTCATCTTTCCGATTTCTTTTTCGATTATTCAATCCGCGACGGATTCCTCTCAGGTTGTTCT